TTTTTTTTTTTGTTTTGAGTCGCGGGAAATTTTTAAATTTCGATAAATATGTGTTGATGGGAGGCAACTGGGGATATCGGTATATCAAAAGAAATAATTAAAAAGTTATTGACTTATTATCGTGATGATTTTGATGGGAAAATATTCTCACAGCTTTTGTCGGTATTTACCTCTTTAAAAACCTTGAAATATTTCCATCGAAAATCGTCAATTTCGGAGATAAATCGATAATTAAGAAAGGCTTTCAATCCGCCTCGTAAATTGACCTTGCAGAATCAATGGTCGAACTAAAAATCTCCTATCGGTATTTACCGACGACGCGGCGTAAATATCCCGTATTTATTTTCCCCAGAATTCACTCGTACATTTAAAACTCGAAAATGTCCGATGAATAATTCATATTTGTCTGATGTTTCTTATCTCCCTGGCAGTCGTGTCCATCCATCCGTGTTTTTCTTTTTTTTTTCCCTTTTTTTTCCATATGCGTTATTCGTACACTCAATATGCGGGAGATGGTGCCTAAACGTAGAAAATTCCTCCAGTGGCATTGGATAGTACAGGGCAATATATTCACCTTAAAAAGCGCTCTGTTACGTTATTCCAAGAGATGGGTTATGCCTTTTTTGTATGGAATGCCTGCATCTCCATTGCTTCCAAGGAATAAATAAAACACAAGTGCTCTCTATTCTTTGCCATGAAATTCCGTACGCCGAGGGGAGGGAAATTTATTTAGTCGAGTTCTGCGGAGCATTCAGTGATCATACCATTATTTTCATGCACGTTTAATCAATGGTAACGAGAATAATCGTTCCCTGAATAATAAAAAAAAAAAATGAAATGTGAAAAGAAAAAAAAAATCACTGATTTCGAGGCATCTCCGTTTCCAAGAGTTTCGTTGATGTTGGGAAAGATTGCTTCGATATTGTTGACCAATGAAATGACAATTTCAATCGTTCAACCCCCACCCTGGAACTCTTTGGTGGACCCATGGACGAGTTGATGGTGTCACATTGGATTTAGTATCGAAGGCAACTTTGAGAGACAACAATATCTGAATAATCGTCAAATTCCTTCTTCCATTTTCCCTTATTCAAGTCATCTTCAAAAATAATTGCTATTAAAATAGAAAAATTATTGAATAATTTCAGTGATGGGAGAGAAAAAATGGAGATACCAGCGTGGTTAAACCGAGGTATGCCTCCAGCGAAGAAGATTCACTCGTCCCTGAATTATGATAATACCAGCAACAAAGTTAGGAGTATGGCTCAGTCAGAAGTGTCCAGGACGACGCACCTCAGGCCGATGTGTTCCACAAATCGTCCGAGAAATAAATTAAAATATCAGGATTTAATAACTCACAGAGCAACGAGTTCAAGTGACAATGAGAAAAGACTAATGAATGAGTGTAATGAGGTAATCGATTCCTCGAGTTCGAATTATTGTTTAAATATTAATGGTGACAACAGAACGATTAGCAGTGTCATCCGTGAGTGCAGAATTAAATTAATACGTATGTTAAAGTGTCATCGAAATGCTTCCCTCAATCATCTCTGGAAGTCAATTTTGTTCATCTTATTCAGCTCGATATGTATATCGGCGACAGATCAGTGTGCCTTGGGCATCAAAACACCAGGACGTGAGTAAACCATGATAATTCATCATAAATAATATTTAAGATTAAATTTAATCCATCCCACAACCAAAATATTAAATCTGAGAGAAAACAGCCGAAGAACTTGTCCAAGAAAAATTTTTAATTCACCCCATGCCACTTTACTTCGTCGCTATTTAATTTAACGCTTCCATAAATTTAAAAACCTCTCGCCAGCGACTGAAGAACATTAAAATTTTATTAATTAATAAATATCTGTGGATCTCTGGGAGATAGCGATATTTTCATTAGGACCTATTCTGTAGAGTGAAAAAAAGCCTCCAAAAAAGGTCATAATAAAATTATCGCTATCTCTCTCACATCGAGAGTTATTTATCGAAGATGCGAGACGCCCTTAGCTGAATCGACTTTATCCTTTACCTCTTCGCTACTGAAATACATTTCAAACTCAATACCTCTGCCAACGAGAGTTTCATGTCCCCTTATCTCTTATTTTGGAATTCTCAACATCGAGCTAAAAGCATACACTAGCGAATTACCGCGAAATATTTTCACTCGACACCCGAAACCCCCGGAATTGTGAAATAAATGATAATACACTTGTTCTTTGTCCAACGACATAATGGAGAACAATAGTAAAAACAAATTCAACACTTGTTCTCTCCCCTGTTTACCTGAAATGAAAAATCTTCTTAGGAACCTGGCCAGCAGGTGACATTGTCCTCGAGGAGGGACAGCCCCTTCGAATTCTCTGTATGCTGAATAAGACGTACATCGATGCTGAATTTCCCGGCAAAAATGCCTCGGATCTTGTTTTCTTCCGCAGCGACAGGGAAATGGAGCCACAATTTATTCGACTGATAAACGAGACAACAATCGAAATGTTTGTGGATGAACCACCACCATCCAAAGACATGTACTACTGCAAATTAAGGCTCAACGCAAATTACAGCAAGAAGTACGAGGCTGTATGCCTCAATAACGTCGTAGTTGGAAGTAAGTTAATAGAAATCTCTACGAAGTAATAATTATATCAATAGTCTCCATTTATTCCGATATCGCGGGGTCGAGATACTGAGACCTCACTCAGTTTCCCGAAAGCAATGAATTTTAATTTTTCTATTTTTTCCTTATTTCATTGATTTATTCACTAGCCTAGTCATTAACTTGAATTCATTCAATTTTATAGTTTTCTCAGTTATCGCATTATCTTCAAGGAAATCCATTTTAGATGCCTTTAATTATTAATTTAAAAAAATGCACTCTCCACATTTTTTTTTGGAAGTCAATAATTTCGGGGATAAATTCATTGATTTATCTTAGAATTTTCAAATTCAATACTGAATTTCAAATTTTATTAGTTTGATATTTTCTCCTCGAATTAATGGTTTTTGAGATTAATTTCAATTAATAATTCAATAATTAAGAAAAGTATGTAGGGAAATTAATGGGAATAGGGGAAGGCGAAAGATCGTGTGGTGTTTTCCGTATGAAAAATAAATGATCCATTGATTGAATTATCGGGGCGGTAGACAACCGCCGTCTCAGATCATACACCGAGGAAGTTATGGATAAACAGTTTACATTCCATGGGATATCGAGTGTTTCAACTCTGTTGCCATTCATGAAGTCATCAACAATATCGATTACACATTTGCCACATCATTTCGCAGAATTTCAGGCTGTTTATTTCCCCCGATATTTTGTATTGATGAAATGAAATTGATGAAATGGCAGTACTGACAGCACTTGAATTTACAGCGAAGCCAAAGGAGCCGGAAAATTTCACGTGTGTATCGAATAACTGGGAGAACATGACGTGCACGTGGGATCCAGTGCCCAATTACGTCGAGACTCGTTTTACTCTTGCGTTTAAATTACCGGGACGAGCTGGAGGACGTAAATTGTATCCCTGCCCCAAGGAAAAGGAGGATCAGAAGTCAACGGTGAAAAATCGATGCTTCTGGGATACATCGACAAATCCAATCTATCGACAGCCTTACGAGTACTACATGTTCAATCTCAGCGCTGAAAATGTACTCGGGAATGCATCTGTATCCTACAAGTTTCATCATTATGCTCACGGTAAATCATTCTGCCAATTTAGCATTCAATATCTATTTTATTGATTTTATACCTTCCCCACTGAATTTGATGACTTGTTTTTATGGGAATTATTACTCACGCATTTTTTAACAGTGATTCCAGCAAAACCTGCGAACCTCACGGTGGTTAGTAAAACATCCGAGAGTGTTCTCCTCCACTGGACCGTACCATTTCCAATGCAGAATTTTCCACCGGGTCTCCACCACCGAGTGACCTATCAGCACCAATGGGAATCGAGAAAGACTTGGCAGGTATGTCGACTCAATAATTCATGCTAAAAATTCCGGTATTTTTATTTAATTGAATCGTTTTAGAGAAATTTGAATCGTTAAAGAAATCGTTTTTTTTTTTGTCGCTGATTCAATTTTTAACAAATCGGGTCTCCTAATCTATCATTCTAAAAGCGTTAATTTCTAAGATAAATAGATATTTTGCGGAATTGTTTACTTCGACTTATCTCACTTCGCGACTTTATCGCCGAATGAAATGATTTCTTTTAATTGCACAATTAACCCAGTGCTGTTGAATCACTTTGAAGCTTGATAAAGTGAATTTCCTGTAAATCAATTTGATATCACAATTTCACGGTCAGAAAATTTTCGCTCGAATCGTATACGGAAGCAACTAGGAGATAGAGTGGGTGTTTATTTTCTGTTTCGATAAATAAAAATTTTATCGTGAGGAAATTGTGTGGGAGAGCGATTCCTATGAATTTTTTTTTTCCTTTTTTATCGAATAGATAATCAACATCACAAACGATATTCACATGCACAAGAGGTACTTCAATCTGACTGGCCTTCAATATGCCAATACCCTGTACGACGTCAGGGTTTTCATGAAGAGTGCAGTAGCCATTGGTGAAGACAAGTGGAGTCAATTTAGCGATGTGACATTTAGAACACCACCGAAATTACCTGGTTTACCCCCACGCACAGACATCGGCAGTTTCGAGATAACCGAGAACAGTGCAAACAGAGACGTTTACTTATACTGGCAGTCGATTCCCCCATATCTAGAGAATGGTGATAACTTTAAATATCAGGTGGCCCACGTGGAGGAAAGCGGTAGAACATCCTTAATCGAGCCCAACGAGACAACCCGAACTTACGCCAAGTTTAAGGGCATAAGTTTCAACAGTTACAGATTTGAATTAGTCACGACAAATATCGTTGGTTCAAATCAAGAGAAAGCTGTGATTTTTATACCAAGTCGCTTTGAAATTCCACGTGAGCCTCTGGCCTTCACTAAAATCGCTTTCGAGGATGGAATGTACGAGCTGTCATGGAAAGCCCCAATAATTAACACTGAGATAACAAATTATACTATTTTCTGGTGTGACAACGAGCGAGATCGTCCTTATCAGTGCACCGGTTTTCTCGATTGGGTGCACGTATCGTCATCAACAACAATTTACAACATGACTGTTCCACAGCCCCGGAAGGTGTATCAATTCGCAATATCAGCTAATACTAGATATGCGTCTAGTGGAATGGTGTGGGCCTCGTGCACTGTTATCCACAATAAAGTGGTAGGAAAGATGAAATCAGTATGGATAAATAGAATAGGTTCAGATTACCTGGAAGTGGGTTGGAAGCTCGAGTGCTCTGATAGAATTGGAATTGTCGAGGGCTTCAAGATTTATTACTGCCCGATAATAACCCCTTACAATCTCAACTGCAAGGGGCCAAAATTAAATACAACAATCAAGGCAGATCCCCACACCATTCATGGCACTGTCACAGGTCTAAAGCCATACACAACGTACATGATATCGGTTGCAGTATTGACAAAAAGTGGTGAGGGCCTCCACAGCGATGCCCTTTACAATACCACCATGGAAGCAGCTCCAAATCCACCTCGCAATGTAGTTATCACTGAAATCACCAACTCGACGATGTTTGTCTCCTGGGATTCACCCACAGCAATGAATGGAGTTCTACGTTACTACGAGGTACACTACAGTAACAATGTTGAGCAGGTGGAGGATGTCACCCATGTAGAGCTGAAAAATCTCATAGCATTCAAGAATTACAGCATCCAAGTGAAGGCCTGTACAGTATCATGCAGCTATGGATCATCAGTTATCTATTCGCAGACTGGAATTGGCTTTCCAGGAAAAATAAATCGAGTACCACTGGTGCGTTTTATAAATTCGAGTCAAGTATCTGTAACCTGGAGTAAACCTGTAAATCCTGGTGGTAGACTCGATTACTACCAGATATCCTCCAAACACGGAATCATTCAAAACAGCTCGAGAAGTGAATCCAGCATTCCAATTCCTGATTGCAAGACTGAGGGAATTGATACACTTCATCAGTTTCGAATTAGAGCTGTTAATGTAGCCCCTAATGGTGAGCATTTGTATGGACCTTGGTCAGATCCTGGTGAGGGTAATTGCTACAGTGGAGGACCTGCCTCGAGTGTTCTTGCTATAATCTGGGTGATAGGCGTCATTGGATCGATAGCAGTTATGTTCTGCGTTATTTACACGTCTAAGAGGGTTTGGCTGAAGTACAAAGTCATGCAGGATGTTGAGGTGCAGTTGCCACCAGGTTTAGCTGGTGAGAAATTACTCCAGAAAGTTGGGGAGCAGCATATCAGACAGTCATCAGCTGATTCCAGTGGATGCTCCAGTGGACAGGAGTCAGTGACATCTTCTCTGACATCGGATTCTCACGTGTCAACTGATAGTGGAACTGAGATTGATCCTGTTGTCTCATCGAATAAATTACTGGAGTCGTCGAGCACGTGGGAGTCATCGAGTCTTCGTCAGAGGAATGTGGGCACAATGAGACCCAGTGGAATGCCAGACTCTACTCGATGGGACTCTTACGTAAAAGTTTCGAAACCTGGGGAGCCAGTGGAGGATAATCTGTCACTGGCTCGATCAACACCCAATTTAACAGACTCATCTGGCTTTATGATGCCTCAGCACACCTGGTCCTCCACTGGCTACATCAGCATGCCCTCGTCTGAGGAATTATCCAATAATCCCAGTCCTACACCCAAGGATAAAAACATTGGGGGCTACAGTGTTGTCGGTTTGCTTCCAAAATCAAGGGATAAGATGGAAAATTATTCTCAATTGTCCAACAATCTCGCGGAAGTTAAACCCACTGCGCCGTATGTCAGTTTGGCGTCCCTAGAGGCTAAACCACGTGAGAAAAAAATCCTTGACACAGTTAAAAATCTCGAGCACCTGACGAAATTCATTGATCCACCGACTGTTGATAAAACACCGTACGTCCAGACAGGATTAATGGGCAATGATAAATCTGTTACAACGAAAATCCCGGAATCCTGTGATTTTCCCACATTTTCAACGTCTAGAAAGGCACAACCCGACGTGATGAAGCCTTACGTTGCTGTTGGAACACTTCCAGATGGAGACAAGAAGGGAAAAGTCGTGGTGAAGGATGACACGAGTTTATCCCAGGGGACATTCGTTGATACCAAGAAACCGTACGTCTTGGCTTCATCAGTCTTCAATGTTGGACAAGACAAGGAGGATAATGTGGAGGAGTCTTTCGACGATTCATTGTCTTCGGAGTATGATATGTTTTGGGAGCCAGAGGATATTGGAGCTGAGAGGAGGGAAGAACCTGAGATCAAGAACTCCGGGTATGTCACTGTGAGAGATGTACAGAAGTCTGAGTCCCAGGGATTGGGTAAAGTTGCTGCGGGCTTTGGACAGAAGGTGGATAAAACCTTGGGCTCGGTGGGTGATGAACAGTACAGCAAAGTCACAGTTGCTCCTCACAACATGTGAATTTTCATTTTTGAAATTACCAAGGGGATGGATGAAGCGTATCTGTGACACGACTGTGAATTCTTGTAGGTATGTTGTATGCACCTGATTATTTTTCTTCGTATAAAGGTCGCTCTCGGGTTTTTTTTTTCATATCCATGACGACGATTTATAGAAATGGGCCTTGTCAACGACTGATTTATTTCTTATTACTTCGATGATTAACGAGGCTTGAGGGGCATATTCTGTTGGTCTGTGAAATTACGAGGGTTTGTGGAGGGGCTGTGGAGCCCTGAGAATTGTGAATTTATCTTTGAAACGACGAGTTTCATTAGGAAATACTGGGAAACCATGGATTTTCCTGGAAAATCATTCATTCCAAAGATAATCGCATCTCCTCTACTCAGTTGAAAGTGAAAAAGAAAAAAAATCCTCGTAATTCCTCATTTTGTTTCTTTTTTTTTTGTTTCGTTATCTTTGATAATCCCAATAATTTCATTCAATCCATCCAATGAATTCGGGAGAAATTTATCGTAATGAACGATATGATGGACAATTACACAAACACTAGATACTCGTTTTCTTGAAAAATCACAACGAACTAAAAAAGAAAAAAAACCGTGGAACTCGTGTATATGTACAAAATGAATGACTTTTGTATCATAAATATAATCGTGTTGACATTGACGTGAATTGAGAGGTAAAAATCATTTTAACGAATAATTAGAACTGTATAAGATTTATCTAGAGAATAAGAAATTTACTGTTTAATCAATCATCAATTAGATAATGCACGATTTATCGACAGGCGATTATTGGATAGACATTAAGTTTATTCTATACTTAGTACCTAGCTGAAGTGCCCACTCCCTGCATCTTATTTATCATCTCAATACCCAGATTTGTTATTATCTTAATAATCTCTTAAGGCAGTTGTTAATTTTTCCTTCACCAACAGAAAATCAACGCGAGCATATCCACTTGGGTATTACGAGAAGATTTTCTCTGATTTATATTTTTATTATTTCAATGGCCTTTTTTTTTGTTGAATTCGTGATTTTTATGGTTAAATCGATTCATTGAAATAGCAATGATGGAAAATATCGGAGATTATTTTCAAATACTGGGGGGATTGTTTCGTGTGGAAATATTTGATTACGATGGGATGAATGGGACAAAATGGAGTAATTTGATTATTTAACTGATTCTTCATTCTGTCTTCACTCAACTCTGACACTTTCAATGCCATTAAAACGTTCAAACTGATGAAAATAGAGAGAAGTGCATGTCTGCATAATATAATAAGCTAGTCACTGAGAGGATTCATCAGTCTACGTAACAGGTCCTTCTTTTTTTTTCCTTCGTTATTGAAAAGTTAATAATGTAAATGAAATTTGAGAAATAATCATGTTTTTGAATTTCAATAGGGTACCGATGTGGCCTTTGTCAAGGTATATTTTTTTTTTATTTATAACTCAAGTAAATGCCGATAAACTTACCAAGATAAACATGATTTGACTAATTCGCCGGAGACTGACGTATTGCTAAGGCTAATCATCAAATGACGTGAACCGTGATTTTTTTTTTTCTTTTTTTTTTAACTGAATTGGAAAATTTCTGGCCTTTGAAGGATAAATTATGTTACGAATCGGATTTATATGGATGAAGCATTAATGGATCGAGGAATAATCAGTGAATTCCTCGTGGGAATTTCGTCTAGTGTGAGGGGAAATGGGAGTTGTTGAATCGTCAGTATTTTTTAAATGAGTCGAATCATTTCAACCGATAATATCTCGCTTTGAAGCTTTAAAAAATATCTCGAAAGTGAAAAAAAAAATCATTGAAATTCACTCTGCGGTTATCGAGCTAGTGACGATCAATTACTGTCTATTTCGCCTCTGATTTATGAGAGCTTATCTGTCCACATATCTATGAATGATAAAGAAATGCCAATAGTATTGGGGGTTTAATGATAAATTGAAAGGAAGTGCCTAGTTTTACGTCAATAGAGTGAGTTGATGAGAATAATATCTTAATGCTGATAAAAATGACATGTATTCTCATTTTAAAATTATTCGTGAATATGCAACGCGGAATTATTGGAAATAAGTTGCGGTTGCAAAAAGAGCGATTATTATTTTTCGCACTTGTTCTTTTTCTTCATAAAATAATTGTATGGAAATTCTAGAGCTTCAATGTTGGGGGAGAATATGTCAGAGACTTTATCACGAGAATCAATTTTATAGTGCCTATCGATGGACAGAGGGGTGGGAAAATCTAATGATGAAAAAATGAAGAAATTGATGATTTATAATTCGAGAGAGGGGCGGGGGCTCATTTACCGAGGCGAAAATATGCAACATCAGGTTCAAAATGTATTTCATAAGTTTTATAGATTTTTCATTGTATATAGCTCGTATTATCATATATTTTTGTTATATATTTATAAATAAAAAAAAAACAAAAAAATGTTAATGTATAATTGCACATCAAAATATACTAGATTGATCAAATAAAGTAAGGGTAGAATGTTAATTAAATTCAAATGGATAATTGAAGATTTTCATTAGAATTTAAAGGAAAAATGGTAAATGTTTAATGAAAATTTTGTGGAATAACAAAGAGAGAAAAATCGTGATTGTGTGTAACTGCAGTGCAATGATCCTGATAATTTTGTGTAAATAGTTTTAATACTTTTAGCCTATTAATATTTTTTTTTCTGCTAGAGATTGTCTTATTAAAATTTATGCAGTCTCCATAAACATCATTCAACAATTTAAAACACGCGGGATTTAGTAGTTAAGAGTGTTTGTTCTGCTCGCTGTCAATTTAAAGAAAAACAATAACTTCGAATATTGTACAGAATCTTGTACATTGTAATATATATTTTTACCGCATCTTTCTTCTTCCTTTGGATTTATTATTTATTTTTTTGTTCACTTTGTAATGTCTCCGTTCATCATCATTGTGTTTTTTTTTTCAATTATCATTCTTATGCATTCAATTAGGTGATAGTTATGGAATTATGTTTTTAATTATTAGAAAAACCCCTCAAGGTACGCCATGAAAACCTTGCCATCTCGCATATGTTCTTATATTTCTATTTATAATAATACATTTTTATAATGGAATACTCATTCATCAATAAATAAAGTTATAAAGTATAATTCAATTTAAGATATAAAAAATTTACTTGTAGTAATTCCGTTCATTTTCGGGGTTAATTAATTGATTGGAATAATAAAATAGGTGTTCAATGACCATTTCTCCCCTTATTTTATTTCCTATTTTTTTTTACATGGTAAAGTTTTTTCATAAAAGGAGATTCCGCCATAATCTACAGTCCGTAATGTATAAATAAATAAATATATTGAAGATATACTACTAATGAAATTATGTTATTGCAATGAGCG